ACAGAGGGCTGGAACAGGAGCAGCCCAGGGTACACCACTCTCTTCAACTGTGTGCCGCTGTGAGCTGTTAACATCTACCACTCAACCACCTGGTCTGCAGCCAATCACAGAGCAGAATTAACAAGACACAAGCAGAGGACACACTGTAAAAACATTCAGCTCAAAGGGGTCGTGAAAACTGATTGAATAGAGTAAATGTGCATGTAAATAAATAGTTTAATAGTGAATCTAGCACTAAGAAACTACAGTCTATAGTCTCTCCCCCTTCACAGCTCTAACAGAATTGGCATGCATTTCACTAATGATCTGCACATCATATCAGGTTTGTGAAGTTGTATTAAATTGTTTTGTATCATGCTTTTGTATATTTATGGAAAAATACGGATGTAACGATATCCAAATCTCTTGGTACAATATTATCGCGATATGCATCTCACGGCAAGACATTTATTATGATATTTTGGAGAGGCTGATATAATTGTAGATTGTTACATTCCTAAAAATATTGATGTGGGCTGAGCTTTGGACAGGATTGCATTGCTATCCATAAGGAGAGTTCGAATAGGGCCTGGTAAGAGCTCGCTAAATTACTCAGACATGCATGGATGACATATAAAACCTCTTCAGGCATGTTTTTGATGAGAGAACAATGTTATAACATAGTAGAAAGCTCCAAAAAGTAAACTTGGCATAATGAACCCTCTTTAAAAACATAAATCTTAGAAACATAAATAAAATGTATTCAATTGAACTGCATTTTACAGTACAGTGTATGCACAGAGACACGTTCTTACCCAAAGCCACACATGCAAACAAATGAGCCGTCATATAATCTACACTTCCACATGTGGCCTTTAAGCTTGAACTCTACTGTCAGTGGTGCTTATGTAATGGGAGCATATATGTGTTTGTCTATTAGTCTTTCCACTGGAGCAGCTTGGGGAGCGGAGGTGTGATTCATGGAAGTACACTGACTTCTGGGTTAGGGCTCGCCTGGGGGGCCACTGGAACAGCCAATGAATCTCCAAATAGCAAGGGCCCAGGAGAAAGTGGCCTCTGCATATACAGCCCTGTTACACAAATAGGAATAATAAACAACTCTTAATAAAGCAGGCCGCTGCTTAAGTAGCAGTATGAAGGAATACAGAACATTTTAGCGATTGTTTTAACTTATTTCCAGGCACATTTTCTGGGTTTATTTTGGGAGACAATGTCTAATTTTATTACATTTGCAGAGGAGCAGAAACATAGCTGAATATTTTTTTAATAACAAAGTGTTTAATATAGGTAGACTGGTTGTGTGAAGCTGAAAGTACAAGACAGAAATGACCACTAGGGGTGTAATGATGTCCAAGTCTTATGATACGATATTGTCACTGTATGAACCTCACAGCATGATATTTATTGCGATATCATGGAGAAACTCACGATATGGCGGGAAGGCTCACGATTAGGGATGTAACAATATCCAAATCTCTCGGTAGGATATTGATTACAATATTTTGTGGAGGTTAAACAGCTAAAACTGTTAATATGCTACTTTTTCCTCTTAAAATGCCTTGACAAGACTTAATCCAAAGAACTAAGACTTAATAGTGCTTAGAAGTGTGCAGCAACATAACTCTTAATTTAAGCAAAGAGACTTGGAATTCAAGAGACCTGGAATTTGATATATTGTGAGAACGTTGACGATACAATATCACGATATTTCAGTTATGTTACATCCCTAATGACTACTGCATATTAATACTACAAGTAAATGTTGTTAAAGATACTATGTGACTTTTCTGGTGTGAGCCTTTTTGTCTCCATGGAGATGTTCCACAATAAGCTATGTACCACACATTCTTACAATGAATTTGCCTCTCCACTACTTGGTATTGTGACTTCCATTGCTTGTCTCCATAGCAATAGATACGTTTAATGTCATACTGTACAACATTTCAGGCAAAGCAATAATATCTCTGGACAAGATGACAGGTCCTCCAACAGAAAGGTTACAGACCGTTGGCTATTTTCTAACTTTTTTACAAATGAAGGTACATTTTATATTCTCCAAAGCTGTCAAATTAACCAAAAAATCCCCTACAACCCGACCAAAAAGGAAGGATATCTTCATCTTCCTCTTGTTTTTTCCTTCACCGCTGACTGTGGTTCTAGTTCTGAGATCAAGGGCTATTCTGGGCTAATTACAGGATCAGACGGGAACAATGGCGGAGGTAGAGATCCTTGTGTTTGAGAGGAGAGAATCCGCCCCACAGCTGCACAGAGCTACAAAGACCCAACAAGCCAATCACCTGCACTTCTGTGATCACCAAACACTCCAGTCTTATACGTGTATGCTAACACGGGGCCACGCAATATAATCTATACATCCACCCGTGTATCTTTACAGGGCCCATAATACTCTATTTTCTCATCTATGTTATAATGTTGTTTCCTCATCATGAACCTGGAGCTGTGTTTTGTTTCATTCACACGTTTAACACCCATAACTGCATATTATACTGAGTTCTTCCCTCAAACGGAAAACATTCTGTTCCACCTTGTGATGTCATGAGGAAATACTAAGTGCGCCACTGTGTTTTTTAACTCCATACACCGTCACTAGAATCATTTGGATGATTTCGGCCCTGGAATTGCTGAACTAAAGGTAAAAGGTAGCTATTAACTTGAAAACAACTGCTTCATGACATCACAAGGTGGAACGGAGAATTTTGAGATTTGAAGATACAGATAAAGGACTCAAGCATGTGTGAATGAAACAAACCACAACTCCAGGTATATATATTTTTTGGGCAACAGCATTATAACATGGCTAAAATCTCACAATAATCCATGTTGTGTACTCTATACGAGAAAATACAATGACGTCACATCAGCTATTTTGGTAGGCAAAAAGCGTCCGTATCAACAATTCAACATAGTCAACAATTATCGGCGAGTTTTAACTTTTCAAAGTAACGTTTTTGATCCTCAATATTAAGTGACTTAAGAGTAAGATGATGAAGTCATGTCAAAACAACTAAATGCAAAACCTACTTCAAAATAAGACGAGTTTTATGACAGACATACGCAACACAACTGTCAACACAAACAAGCAACCCAACTGACTTTTTACCTACCAGCCACTGTGCATGTGTGGAAAAGCTGGATGTAAACAAAAACAATGTTTTCTCATATAGGACTTTTAACAAGAGATTTAGACACCTGTGATTATACCCTATTAACTGGGTTTCTGTTTACTGATATATGGTGTCATTTTGAGGACGGCTGATAGATATAATATTTAGTTTTCAATTGTTATTTGCTATGAGAGCAGTCCTTACATTTCTCTTGGTTCTTTTTATGTGATTGTTGCTATGCCCCTCTGCTGCTGCACTGATATTATTACTAGTACTGTACGCTAATGTTTACATTGTGGGTGTAATGTTTACGTGGTGGGTGTTATAGGGTGGGTGCTCTACGCTATTTTGCAATTTTAATATACTATGCAGTTTGTTTGTGATGCTCTAATGTAATTTCGTTGTTATTTTATTGACAATGACAATACAGGAATTGAATCTTGAAATTGAATCTTGAATCATTCATGGATAGAATGTGTTTGTGTTTAGTGTGCATGTGCCTTGTATCTGTATTTATCTACGACTGCTCCTTCTCTCTTCCTACATCACCGACAAAACTTTTCCCAGTCTCATTTGCGCCATGACCCCACTGTGATCCCACTGGGCACCTGCTCCACCCTGTCCCATTCCCAGAAACACACAAATACAGAGGAGTGCATGGCCGAGGGAGCAGAAGCAAAATGGTTCAGTGAATAATTCAGGTCTCTACAGTCAGGAGCCAAAATGGAGGCTGTCAAAGTGATGGCTCCATTAAAAGAGCAAAGAGACAGGCTTCTCTCTCTCACACACTACCTGTCGTCTGGTACAGCACAGTCACGAGGGATACACTGACTAATGAGAGCTACCTCATCACGACCAGTTTAACCACCTACGTACGTGCACCACAGTTAAACTATTAATTTTCTTTTTTTAGATTTTCCAATTGCTAACACCCCAGCAACCAAAAATCGCAAATATGAGCAAAGAAAAGAAGGGAGACAAGGAAATGAGACTGGAACTATTATCAGGGAAAAAACTGTCACTCCAAATTGCCAGAGTGCCATGTTTTGGTTGGCGTTTGGACCAAGGCTGTGTGGATAATATGGTCTAAAATATACCGTACGTTACAAGCAGCAGTTGTACCATTTGAGAGCTTATACATTTACATTATGGATCTTTTAAAGCGCATATTATGATTCTCTAGTTTTGACTAAATTCGGTGAAATTATAACTAGTGTAAATAAATTATAGTTAGACAAATCAAGAAACAATTTGTGAAGAAAAGTTTCTTCTTTCCACAGAAGAAACACCTGATTTCCTGATACTTTAAAAACAATTTCAACAAAATAAAGGTGTTTTCTTATATTTTAATTTGTCAGATAATAATTTGTGTGTACATTAGATGAGGTTTGCCAGGTAATAGTTGGAATTCCCTTGTGCGGTGTCACAATTTCCAACCAGGAAGTAAAATTTTATACCTAAAAAATGGCCAAATTGAGAAAAAGTGTGAAATCTTAAATATATTGATCTTAACTGTGTTTTAGTAAAATGAGTCGCATAACCTGTCAACTACACTGTTTTATATAGATGAAAGTTCTAATTTAAGCCGTCATTATCATATTTATCCTCATTTTTGCATGCATTTCAGGTAATATGTACACATTTTCTACCAGTTTTTGCAGATGTAGAGGAGGAACTAAACTGCATTAACCTTTTGGTGAGCTCATATTGAGTACATTCTACCCCATCGGAGGAGGAGTTTACACCAAGATCCCTACTGAGACTAAAAATCAATGCACTGCATCAATACTGAACTTCCCTGTCTGCCCAAAATCTAAAATACAGCCTGCAGTATTTGAACTGACTGGGGTCATGTGACAGGTGGGCGGTACTCACAGCTCGATGGCTTTATTCCACATTATGACGTAGCCTGAGAGCATGAAGGACTCCACGTTGACAATGTGGACGTTCCCGCGTTCGGTGCCGATGTACAGCCATTTGCTTTGGAAGGGCAGGTGGCAGAAGGTGATCCTGGAGGGACAAAGACACATCAGTTTCGTTACTAATATAAACAAATAATGAACATTCAAAACCAAATTTTTTCCATCTATTTGAGCAAAAGCAAATACAGTATAGCCTCAGTATTGTAAAAGCAGCTCTTGAGGTCAAAATATGTCCCCTGTGTGCTGTGTGCATTTAATAAGAAAGCACTTTACTGTCAGATAATCAGGAAGCGCGTGCTGGCATGCTAGTAGGTGTTACAGCCCCAGGCCTTCAGTTCTAATTTGTTTTGTGTTTTAATTTGTTTTGCTGGCTGTCCTGATTCTTGCTGTGAGAGCCCTGGTCTGTGATTGGTGGAGTTTGTCTACGCCCACCTCACCTGGAGCCACGCCCCCTATTTAAGAAGATTGGCAGCACCTGTTCAGGGCTGCTTGTCTTGGTGACCAGTCTGCCATTTTGTGTTCGTGTGTGTCTCTTTAGTGTCAGTCACTCGTTTGTACTAGTACATGTCTGACTTTGTTGTGTTGAGAAACTTGTTTAGTTTTGTTTTGTACCTTTTTATTTTGCCACTTGATTCTGTTTGTGGGTTTATGTGGTTTTTACTTTGGGGTACTTGTGATTTAGTTTTGTTGTGTGTCTCGTTTTTGTATAGACCTGCGTAACCTGTTTTTTTTTTTGGCACAAAACTTGTTATATGTTAACCCAAACTAAGAAACCAAAATAACAAGATTATTTTCTGTACATATTTTAGCATGTTTTGTTAATTTACCCTTTTACATTTGTGTTAATTAAATATTACTTAATTTATTCCATTTTCCACCTTGGTTTTTTTGGTTGCAAGCTGGGTCGTAAGAGTAGCTTTACTGTGATGTCAAAACTCTAATCTGATGTCTGAACATTGTGAAAAGTGCTTACGAACTCATCACGGTGAATAATTGAGAGTGGATTGTATAAGGTACAAAGGAATAACTTGGGACTACTGCAAACCATTGAGCTAGCTCTGTTTTTCACAATTTTAAAGAGAATAAAAGTCCAGTACAGCAGCTATAACTGTTTTTTTCACCATTATAAACACAGCATAATGTATCACTCATTACATTCTATCATGAATTGACTTCTCAGCGATCGCTTGTTATTTTTTCCTTCTTGCAGACAACATCTGTTTGCATAGTTTTTCACATTGACCACTTTGCATAATTAAAGGTGCTATATTACACAAATTTAACTCTTGTGAGCTTCATGCCACGTTGTTACCTTGTCAAAAACATACTCAGAGTTGTGTTTTGTTTCATCACATGTCTGAGCAATCCTTTAATATTAGACTGTTTGGAGTTTAAAAACACAGCAGAGCACTTCCTGTATGACATGTCAAGGTGGAGTGTTTTCTGTTTGAGAGAAGAACTCAGCCTAAATATGCAGGGTTTGTGGAATGAAACAAAACACAACTCTGGGTACGTTTGTGATGCCAAAACAACATTATAACATGGCTCAGAAAACAGAGCAATATGGGCTTTTTAATATTTAACTGCTCTTTTCACTCAACATTACAAACACAGTATAGTGCACCACACAGGCTTTTGTATTACATTCTGTTGGGAATCAACATTTCTTACAAAAAAAAAGAAGCATCCTTTGTTGATAGAAACCTCCAAGCATCAAAAGTCAGACAGCTTGGAGGAGTTCTTGAAAAGCGCCTTCCTGTTCAATTCTAATGAGATCTGAATAATGCAACACGGCGACGGGAGCATTTACTGGTCCATCAGGCTGAAGCCGTGCGCGCACAGAGAGCAAACCACCAGACTTTGACGCGTCTGATCAAGGCTTTTCTACCCAGACCTCCAAGACACATCCAGGGCAAAATGGCCGCCCATATTTCTCCAGTTTTCATCTCCACCTCACCATCTCCTCCTTTTATCCATCTATCAGACTGCAAGCTTAATGAGAGGTTATAAAGGCCTCCCCCCTTAACCAAGAATATCAATTTATCTTTCTGACCCTGTATTTTTTTTACGGTTTCATCCCTCTCTTGGTTTCTTCAGAGGAATAAGAATGAGCCACCTTGGTAATTTGATGTGCTAATATTTCAAGGTCGCTCGGTTATGAAGGGTAGGTGTTGGTTTAAGGTGTGTATCTATGACAAATATGCTCATAAGTATCAGGAAGTAGCTTTATCTGACATTGCTTGTCACTTGTAAATGAATATTGTAGACCACAAAATATTAAAGAGTAACATACAGCTTTTGTTACAGATTTAACATTAGAGTACTGGTACACGAAAGGAGGAAGGGGGCATTTACTATTTACATATTAAACCATTTTCTGAGATGTCTTTCTGTTTCCTCATCAAAGTTGTGTTTCGTTTTATTCATGTTTAACACACAAACCCTGCATATTTAGGCTCTTTATTTAGTTATCTCAAACAAAAAACACTCAGTTCCACCTTGTGATGTCATGTGATAATAAAGGAAGTGTTCCACTGTGTTTTTAAGCTTCATACACCTTCACTAAAAACTTTTGAATAATTTCAGCTGTGGTGGAAATTTTAGTATTGGGTGTTGTTCTTTCTGTTCTCCAAGTAAGAAGTGTTAAAAGCCACACTATTCTTTGTCTAATCCTTTCTCTCACAGGAAGACTATAAGTATTTTTGGGTTTACCATTTACATTTCTGTTGGTTATTTCACATGTAAAGTGTTTGATCATCTTCACTTGTACTCAGATGTTAATGTAAAGGTGTTACATTTCAGCGCTGAGAAAGCCAAATGGAAAGCCAGACTAACTTAAGTGCAAACTGTTCTTGGGGAAGGGCTTGGACCTCAGAGAGTATTTAAGTGTCATTACCCCACTGCTCTGGGCTCAATGCTGGCAGAAAATCTGTCTGTGAGTAGTGGGACCGTTTGTTACCGGTGCAAACGTAATGCAACATAAACAGTCTTCTTGTATGTTTTGGTATTATTTTACAAGACACAGCCCTGGAATCATAGCCATTCTGGTGCCACCTAGTGCTTCCACTCAATTTAATTTCTCTCCAGCAACTATGTCAGGAATCAGAATAGACTAGACGGTTCACAAAAATCCTGGAAGTGCAAGTCCAAGCACCAGCCAATCAGCGAAGAGTCATACATTTTGTGTTGGCAACGATTCCCAAGATTGAGGATTTAAAGCCAGAACAAAGAGAATATTTGTTGAATTTTATCAAGGGGAAAGTCGTTATTGCCCTTCTTCCTACAAGATTTGGGAAAACCTTAATATACCAATTAGCCCCATTAGCGGCGCATTACATACATCACGACCAAATAGCAGTGATTGGTTAAATAGAAAAAGTACCCACCTACTGTCGAGCGAACGAATTCTAACGCTGCAAGGTCAGACGGTTTCCACAAAGTGAAATCGGCTCATGAATCAGGCTACTGGAATTGTCCATCTCTACTAAACTAAATGTAAAAGGTAAGCTCACTTGAAAAATACTACTTCATAACATCACAAGGTGGAACAGAGCGTTTTGAGCTTTGGAGATGTAAACAAACTAATAAGGATTACTTAAACATATGTGAATGAAATAAAAGACAACTCTAGTTATGTTTTTATGGAGGTAAAAACATTATAACATGCTAAAATCCAGTTTTCAGTGAATATACCATTTTCAAAACAATCAAAGGCAACATGATGATCTAAATATGTTATGTGTTAGCAGTTTATACTCCACAGAAATGTAGAACTGCAATGCGTAAATAAGTAAATTTAGTTAAATTCAGCAAACAATTTCATCCTCTTGCAACTGGTTTAATATTTTAAAGAGGTTCACTGCACAGCTAAGTAAAATCTTAAAACCAGTTACTACTCGCCGTAAATTTGCCTCCTTTGCCATCCACACTGTAGTGACTGTACCCATGAGTATTTGCTAACACCTTAATAGCATCAAGTGAAGTGACTGCAGCTTCTGGGAGCCAAGGACAAGTTTCACATAGATGTATGCTGTTCCCTTCTGCCCCAGCGCTCCTCTTAAACACATGAATTATTCACATTTACAGCACAAATGTCACAGAGCACCACATGAATCTCATCCCAACACGGGCCAAAACACCAAGCAACACCACAGCCACGAAACTGGGCTTAAATACCAGCACAGTGGGCCTGGGCTATTCAATCCTACATAGAAAAACACTATGAAAAACACTGTCTATTTTTCCTCAGTGACAGTAGTTTTGGTTGGTTCATTTGTATGTTTTGTTTTTAGAAAGAAGCAACGTTAAAGAGTCATGGTCATGTTTTGATTCATTTGATTTTCAGCAGTAGTTGGTGATGACATCTACATTGTCTCTAGATGAAACACCAGAGAAACAAAGCAAAGCAATTTATGCCTCAGAAACCCATGTGATCAATGAAACTATTAAAGGGTGACAGTAGCGACAGTCGGTAGAGTGTTTGTCCACTCATCAGGAGGTTGGCGGTTCGGATCCCGCTCTCGACATAAATCTCATTGGCACAGCGGTTGAGGGTACAGAATAATGAAATGCTACTTTAATGCTACTTCGTTCTTGCCTGACAGCCTGAAAACCTGAGCAGAGACACGCCTCAATTACTTTATAAAGATGTGTCTAGTCATCAATGAATCTCCCTGGAGTGGAGATGGGTGTGACTGACCAATCAGGGAAATGCATGGTCAGGCTGTATCCACACAAATATGGCTGCTTGCGAGGAAAAAAAAAACATCATGGATTTCTGCAGAATCAATGGACGAAGCCTTTTTGTTTTGTTTGTTGATTTTGTTCTAAATGATGAGTGACCAATGATCTCCTGTTACTGAACTAAACAAATCTGATGCTTAGTGCTATGGATCAATGGCTATTTTGTTTAATTATAAGAACTGGTGACCTACTTCATGTTTTATTTAATTCAGAAAGAAATGTATTTATTGTTATTATGTTATTTGTTTCAGATATCTACAGTAGTAAAACACCAAATGTTACAAGGTTTAATGTTCATGCAAGTAAAAGTTCTGCGCAGTAATAACAATAACTTCAGTTTTTAAT